CATTTTGGGATGGGCGGGGGCCCCTGGGAGTTGAAGGAGGGGGTTTGGAGGGTCGAAAATTTGATTTTTATGTGGTTTGGACGGGCAAAAGGGCCAATTTTTAAACTTAAAATGTCCCATTTAACCGGGAAAAACCAAAAAGCATACGGGGGTTTAAAAGTTTTTTAAAAAAGTTTTGGATTTTAGCGGGAATTTTGGGTTTCCTTTTTGGGGAGGGGGCGTGGCCCCTGGGAGGGGCCCCCCGAGTGGGTTGAGAGGTGGGAAACTTGTTTTTTTATAAAGGTTTGGGGGATGGAAAACCCCTTTTTTTAAACTAAAACAGGGCCCAAAACTCCCCCGGAAAATTAAAAGCACTCCGGGGGTAAAATTTTAAAGTCTGGTTTTAGTGGATTTGGGGTTTTTTTTGGGGGTTGGGGGCCCCCCTGGGAGTTCCCCGGTGGGTTGAGAGCGAAATTTGATTTTTTGAGGGTTTTGGCGGGCCAAAAACCCATTTTTAAAACTAAAACTTTGTCCCACCTCCCCCGGGAAATAAAGAACTACGGGGGAAAAAAGTTTTTTAAAAGTCTGGTTTTTTAGCGGGTTTTCGGTCTTTTTGGGGAGGGGCGTGGCCCGGGGAAGGGGCCCCCGGCCGGGGGGTTTTGGGGAGGCCCGAAATTGATTTTTTATGAGGGTTTTGGGGACAGGCAAAACCCTTTTTTTTTTTAAAACAAAAAATGCCCCAAACCTCCCCCGGAAAAAATAAAAGCAAAAGGGGGGTTAAAGTTTTTAAAGTTGGATTTAGTTTGGATTTCGGCCCTTTTTGGGGGGGGGCGGGGCCCCCCTGGGAGTGGCCAAAGGGGGTTTTGAGAGGTAAAAAATTTGATTTTTTTTTGAGGGGTTTGGGACAGGAAAAAAACCTTTTTAAACAAAAAACATGCCCCACCTACCCGGAACATAAAAGCACTACAGGGGAAAAGTTTTTAAAGTTGGATTTAGCTGGTTTTCGGTCATTTTGGAAGGGGGCGGGGCCCCCTGGGAGGGGCCCCCGAGGGGGGTTGAGAGGTCGAAATTTGATTTTTAGGGGGGTTTTTTGGGACAGGCAAAAACCCTTTTTTAAACTAAAATTTGTCCCCCCCTTCCCCGGGAAAAACAAAAAAGCACTACGGGGGTAAATTTTTTAAAAAGTCTGGATTTAGGGGGGTTTTCGGTCTTTTTTGGGAATGGGGTGGCCCCCGGGGAGGGGCCCCCGAGGGGTTTGAGGGGGTCAAAATTTTTTTTTATGTTTTGGGTTTGGGGGGATGGCAAAACCCCTTTTTTAAAACTAAAACATGTCCCATACCCGGAACAAAAAAAGATACAGGGGTAAAGTTTTTAAAAGTTGGTTTTAGTGGATTTCGGCCTTTTGGAAGGGGGCGGGGCCCCCTGGGAGGGGCCCCGAGGGGGTTTTGAGGGGGTAAAACCCTTGTTTTTTTTGAGGGTTTTGGGGACAGGCAGAAGCCATTTTTAAACAAAAACAGGGCCCCTACCCGGAAACAAAAAAGCATTTACGGGGTAAAAGTTTTTTTAAAGGGTTGGGAAATTTACTGGGTTTCGGTTCTTTTTGGGGATGGGCAGTGGCCCCGGGGGAGGGGCCCCCGGGGGGTTTGGGAGGGTCGAAACTTGTTTTTTTGATGGTTTGGGCGGGCCCGGGAAACCCTTTTTTTAAACTAAAACATGTCCCCCCTACCCCGGAACAAAAAAGCACTACAGGGGTAAAGTTTTTAAAGCCCTGGGATTTAGCGGGGATTTCGGTCTTTTGGGGATGGGCGGGGCCCCGGGGATTTGCCGAGGGGGTTGAGAGGTCGAAATGATTTTTAGGGAGGGTTTTGGGGGGACAGGCAAAAGCCATTTTTAAATTTAAAAAAATGCCCCACCCCCCCGGAAAACAAAAGGCACTAAGGGGTAAAAAAAAATTTTAAAGTCTGGATTTTGGGCGGGAAATTTCGGTCTTTTTGGGTTTGGGCGGGGGCCCTGGGGGGGCCCCCGGGGGTTGAGAGGTCGAAACTTGATTTTTTTGGGGTTTTGGGGAACGGCAAAAACCCCAATTTTTAAAAAAAATTTAAAACATTTTCCCACCCCCCCGGAAACAAAAAAGCATACAGGGGAAAAAGTTTTTAAATTTGGGGTTTAGCGGGGATTTCTTTTCTTTTGGGAGGGGCGTGGCCCCGGGGTGTGGCCCAAATTTGGGGTTAAAGGGGTTTCAAAAACTTGATTTTTTTGATGGTTTGGGGGCCAAAAAACCCCATTTTTAAACTAAAACATGTCCCACCTACCCCGGAACATAAAAGCACTACAGGGGTAAGATTTTAAAGTCTGGATTTAGCTGGATTTCGGTCATTTTGGGATGGGCGTGGCCCCTGGGAGTGGCCCGAGTGGGTTGAGAGGTCGAAACTTGATTTTTTATGATGGTTTGGGACAGGCAGAAGCCATTTTTAAACTAAAACATGTCCCACCTACACCCGGAACATAAAAGCACTACAGGGGGTAAAGATTTTAAAGTCTGGATTTTAGCTGGATTTCGGTCATTTTGGGATGGGCGTGGCCCTGGGAGTGGCCCGAGTGGGTTGAGAGGTCGAAACATGATTTTTTTGTTTGGTTTGGATTTGGGCAAAAACCTTTTTTAAAAAACAAAAAACATGTCCCCCCTCCCCCGGAACATAAAACCCATTTACGGGGGAAAAGATTTTAAATTTGGGTTTTAGCTGGATTTCGGTATTTTGGGTTTGGGGGGGCCCCCGGGAAGTTCCCCGAGTGGGTTTGAGAGGTCAAACTTGTTTTTATGAGGGTTTTGGGGACGGCGAACCCTTTTTTTAAACAAAAACCATTTTCCCAAATCCCCCGGGAAATAAAAGCACAAAGGGGGTTTTAAAAAATTTTAAAAAGCTGGATTTAGTTTGGATTTCGGTCATTTTGGGTGGGGCGGGGCCCCCGGGGGAGGGGCCCCGAGGGGGTTTGGAGGTGAAACTTTATTTTTTTTTGGGATGGTTTGGGACGGGGAAAACCCTTTTTTTTAAACTAAAAATTTTCCACCTCCCCGGGGGAAATAAAAGCATTCGGGGGTTTAAAGTTTTTAAAAGTTGGTTTAGCTGGTTTTTGGGTTCTTTTTGGGGAAGGGCGTGGCCCCGGGGAGTGGCCGAGGGGGGTTGAAGGTGGGAAATTTGTTTTTTTTTTGGAGGGTTTTGGGGGACAGGCAGAAACCCATTTTTAAACTAAAAACCCATGTCCCCAAAGGGAAAACATAAAAGCCAAAGGGGGTTTAAAAGTTTTTTAAAGTTGGTTTTAGCGGGGTTTTCGGTTTTTTTTGGGAGGGCGGGGCCCCCGGGGAGGGGCCCCCGGAGGGGGTTTTGAGAGGTCAAAAACTTGTTTTTTTGATGGTTTGGGACTGGCAGAAAATTTTTAAACAAAAAACATGCCCCCCCTTCCCCGGAAATAAAAAAGCATTCAGGGGTAACAAATTTTAAAAGTCGGGGATTTGCTGGATTTCGGTTTTTTGGGGAAATGGGCGGGGCCCCGGGGAAATTTCCCCGGTGGGTTGAGAGGTCAAAAACTTGTTTTTAAATGTTTGGGTTTTGGGACAGGAAGAAGCCTTTTTTAAAACAAAAACATGCCCCAACCTCCCCCGGAACATAAACCACAAAGGGGGGAAAATTTTTTTAAAGTCGGGATTTTAGCTGGATTTGGGGTTTTTTGGGGAGGGGTCCCCCGGGGAAAGGGGCCCCGGTGGGTGTAGGTCGAAACTTGTTTTTTGATGGTTTGGGACAGGCAAAAAAACCCTTTTTAAAAAACCCTAAAACTTGGTCCCCCCCTCCCCCGGAAAATTTAAAAGCAAAAAGGGGGGGAAAAAGTTTTTAAAAATTTTCTGGATTTGGGCTGGATTTGGGGCCCATTTTGGGTTGGGGGGGGCCCCCGGGGAGGGGCCCCCGAGTGGGTTTGGAGGGTCGAAACTTGATTTTTTGGGGGTTTGGGGGACGGGCGGGCCCCATTTTAAAACTAAAAAAGGGCCCCAAACCTCCCCCGGAAACAAAAAAAGCACTACGGGGGTTAAAAGTTTTTAAAGTCGGGGTTTTTGTGGATTTCGGTCATTTTGGAATGGGCGTGGCCCCGGGATTTGGCCCCGGAGTGGGTTGGGGAGGTCGAAATTGATTTTTATGTTGGTTTGGGGGGGCACCCCCTTTTTTTAAAAAAAAAACTTTTCCCCCCTACCCGGAAACATAAACCAACGGGGGTTTAAAGTTTTTTAAAGGTTGGTTTTAGCTGGTTTTTCGGCCCATTTTGGGAGGGCTTTGGCCCGGGGAAGTCCCCCGGGGGGTTTGAGAGGTCAAACTTTGATTTTTATGTTGGTTTTGGGACGGGCCAAAAAACCCTTTTTTAAAACAAAAAATTTGTCCCCCTTTCCCCCGGAAATAAAAAACTACGGGGTAAAAAGATCCAAATCCACTAAAAAAAAATTAAAGGAAAAACGTGCTCCTAAACAATTTTTTGGGGGGCCGCGGGCTCGATTTATTTCGAATTTCCGCCCCGGTACTGTTCCGTACCGCCCCACGTAAGGGGAGGGGAAATTTTATTTTAAAAAACCAAAAATTTTTAAGACGCCATGTTTTTTTGTTCGTTTTTGGGGAGAGTTTTGAACGCAAGGCAATTGGGAAAAGGGCCCCTTTTGCAAACAATTTTTTAACCCTTTTTCTTCTGGGGACATTGCTTAATTGAAAAAAAGGTTTTTTATGTAAAAAAATTATATTTTAGGGGTTAAATTTTTTGTTGGGACGGGGCGATTTTTAAAAATTAAAATTCAGTGGGAAAATTTAAAAATTTACTAGGGAAATTTAAAAGAAAGTAAAAATTCATGAGTTGTTAGGGCCTTTGGGGAAATTTACGCTGAAAGAAAAAGGGGTTTTTAAAAAACCCTCTTTTTGGGTTTTGTTAATATTAAATTTAAAATTTAAAAGGGACTTGGGGCGAGGGGGATAGCCCGAAGCCCAATTTTAAAATTTTCCCAGGATAGTTTTTTTCTGAAATCTCTTCCCTTTGAAAATTTCAGCTTTAATATGTTTTTCCTCTCTCTTCAAATAATGTGGATACTGAAGAGCAAAACGGTCAATGGAGTATGCAGCAATACAGTTACCTTTGTCATGATTATAAACTAACCATGAAATACCCTTGAAGATAACATATCAAGAGCAGTAATAGCAGACAAATCAACAGAAATTAAAATCTGGTCAACCAAAATTAACCCAAAAATGACGTAATTTTGAAAGTTTTTCTCATTTTAGGGGCCAGTGCCTGAATGCCTCCAATTAGTGTACTCCCATTAGAAGAATACAAACTACTATAGTAGGCCCCATGTAGCCTCCAGGCTCGACAAACCCCGACAAACCCCGACATATCCCGACAAACCCCAACGTGTCGAGATATGTCGTATCATGTCGGGCCCACCGGCTACATGACAGCGGTACACTGGTTGTATTTGCTGTTTATTATTATTAAAAAATTTAAAAATTTTAAAAAAATTAAAAACTAAAAAATTTTAAATTTTTAAAAAATTTTTAAAAATTTTTAAAAATCAACAGCGCGTGACTGCCATTGATCAATCTTCTTTAGGCAACTTCTAATCACTTTTCATCCATTATTAACGAATCCCGACAAACCCTGACAAACCCCGACAAACCCCGACACACCCCGACAAACCCCGACATATCCCGACAAACCCCGACGTGTCGAGATATGTCGTATCATGTCGGGGCCACCGGCTACATGGGGCCTTATAGTGTATAAGAAGTATAGCAAATTTCACCGTAACTTTATGGCCTCTCGTATTTAAACACGGTTACTGACAGTTTATATACCGTGATGTGTGATTACATACCGTGATGTGTGATAGTTTTATGAGAGTGTGGTCAGTGTCACTGAAAGTAACTCGTTATATGTTGCTTTTTTAAAGCTTACTTTAAACCGACATGATTACGTACACTTTACAGTCCACTATTCCATAGATGTTCACTGTTCCTATAAGTAATCACCTTTGCCACACGTTTTTTCCTCACTTATGCAGCCAACTTATTGACATTACTATTTAAAGATTATAGACCCGTTTAGTAATAAATATAGTTTTAAAACAATAACAGTTTATTGGCTCACAATATTTAAGCGACTCTACACCCAAGTAATGACACGACAAGAAAAAGATTCATCAAAGTACGATTATCCCAATAAGAATACACATCATGTGTGCACTGTGCAGTGTGTAATCATAACACGTACTTGAGCTAGTGTCAGTTAGCCTATATCTAATATCTATTAATGTGCGATTGCTTCTTTCGAATGGCAAAACGCTTACGAAAAAAGTTACAAAACACATAACAGCCGAAGGGAAATATGGTGGTAGAAGGTATGCAATTTTGGATGCGTATACCAATTCGCCTAAAATTAAGCTAGATTGAAAGAACTGTGAAGCAAATGAAGGTCGTTTGAATATATACGAAGTAAAAACGTGAATAAGGCATACAGTGAACAAATTTTAAAACGTACAACTAAATGAGTATAAGACCTGAAATGAGAAGCAGTAATCCAATTCTGCTAGTCCATTGTTGAGGTAAATTTCATCCGTTCTCAGTGATCTTCTGAAGTTCTGGAAAACGTTGTGAGCATTAGAATTAATAGTAAAATTTTACAATAAACATTTTCAGAATGTCTGTCAAGTTGTTTTAAAAGAAATCTGAACAGAAATTTGACAGATTTGATGGAATTTTTGCCCAGTGACCAATTAGTCAGATAACTGAGGATGGTTTGAGACAAAATTGAGGTACTGGAAGTAAAAATCCCCGACTAATCTAAATAATAATATTCTCCCATTTCTTGTCCCGTTTTCAGTTTTTGAAGACGAAATTTCCCTGACCGATATTTTACAGTTTTGACCGAATTCTTCTCCAGAAACCAATTAGTTAGTCAACTATAGATGGCATTTGACACATTTGAAGTGCTGGAAGTTTGATTCCGGTCCAAGGAAGCTTACTACAGAAAGCTTTACAGCACGAAAATACATATTTTCCAATCTCTGTCCCATTTTCAAATATGAAGATTTCTGGACTTAAATTTGACAGATTTGATGATTTTTTTGCCCAGTGACCAATAAGTCAGCTAATTGAGGATGGTATGAGACCAAATTGAGGTACTTGAAGTAAAAATCCCCGACAAATCTAAAAAATCAGATTCTCCCATTTCTTGTCCCATTTTCAGTTTTTGAAGACGAAATTTCCCCGACCGATATTTTACAGTTTTGACCGAATTCTTCTCCAGAAACCAATTAGTTAGTCAACTATAGATGGCATTTGACACATTTGAAGTGCTGGAAGTTTGATTCCGGTCCAAGGAAGCTTACTACAGAAAGCTTTACAGCACGAAAATACATATTTTCCAATCTCTGTCCCATTTCCAAATATGAAGATTTCTGGACAGAAATTTGACAGATTTGATGGAATGTTTGCCCAGTGACCAATTAGTCAGATAATTGAGGATGGTATGAGACCAAATTGAGGTACTTGAAGTAAAAATCCCCGACAAATCTAAAAAATCATATTCTACCATTTCTTGTCCCATTTTCAGTTTTTGAACACGAAATTTCCCCGACCGAAATTTTACAGTTTTGACCGAATTCTTCTCCAGAAACCAATTAGTTAGTCAACTATAGATGGCATTTGACACATTTGAAGTGCTGGAAGTTTGATTCCGGTCCAAGGAAGCTTACTACAGAAAGCTTTACAAAACGAAAATACATATTTTCCAATCTCTGTCCCATTTCCAAATATGAAGATTTCTGGACAGAAATTTGACAGATTTGATGGAATGTTTGCCCAGTGACCAATTAGTCAGATAATTGAGGATGGTATGAGACCAAATTGAGGTACTTGAAGTAAAAATCCCCGACAAATCTAAAAAATCATATTCTACCATTTCTTGTCCCATTTTCAGTTTTTGAACACGAAATTTCCCCGACCGAAATTTTACAGTTTTGACCGAATTCTTCTCCAGAAACCAATTAGTTAGTCAACTATAGATGGCATTTGACACATTTGAAGTGCTGGAAGTTTGATTCCGGTCCAAGGAAGCTTACTACAGAAAGCTTTACAAAACGAAAATACATATTTTCCAATCTCTGTCCCATTTTCAAATATGAAGATTTCTGGACTTAAATTTGACAGATTTGATGATTTTTTTGCCCAGTGACCAATTAGTTAGCTAATTGAGGATGGTATGAGACCAAATTGAGGTACTGGAAGTAAAAATCCCCAACAAATCTAAAAAATCATATTCTCCCATTTCTTGTCCCATTTTCAGTTTTTGAAGACGAAATTTCCCCGACCGAAATTTTACAGTTTTGACCGAATTCTTCTCCAGAAACCAATTAGTTAGTCAACTATAGATGGCATTTGACACATTTAAAGTGCTGGAAGTTTGATTCCGGTCCAAGGAAGCTTACTACAGAAAGCTTTACAGCACGAAAATACATATTTTCCAATCTCTGTCCCATTTCCAAATATGAAGATTTCTGGACAGAAATTTGACAGATTTGATGGAATGTTTGCCCAGTGACCAATTAGTCAGATAATTGAGGATGGTATGAGACCAAATTGAGGTACTTGAAGTAAAAATCCCCGACAAATCTAAAAAATCATATTCTACCATTTCTTGTCCCATTTTCAGTTTTTGAACACGAAATTTCCCCGACCGAAATTTTACAGTTTTGACCGAATTCTTCTCCAGAAACCAATTAGTTAGTCAACTATAGATGGCATTTGACACATTTGAAGTGCTGGAAGTTTGATTCCGGTCCAAGGAAGCTTACTACAGAAAGCTTTACAAAACGAAAATACATATTTTCCAATCTCTGTCCCATTTCCAAATATGAAGATTTCTGGACAGAAATTTGACAGATTTGATGGAATGTTTGCCCAGTGACCAATTAGTCAGATAATTGAGGATGGTATGAGACCAAATTGAGGTACTTGAAGTAAAAATCCCCGACAAATCTAAAAAATCATATTCTACCATTTCTTGTCCCATTTTCAGTTTTTGAACACGAAATTTCCCCGACCGAAATTTTACAGTTTTGACCGAATTCTTCTCCAGAAACCAATTAGTTAGTCAACTATAGATGGCATTTGACACATTTGAAGTGCTGGAAGTTTGATTCCGGTCCAAGGAAGCTTACTACAGAAAGCTTTACAAAACGAAAATACATATTTTCCAATCTCTGTCCCATTTTCAAATATGAAGATTTCTGGACTTAAATTTGACAGATTTGATGATTTTTTTGCCCAGTGACCAATTAGTTAGCTAATTGAGGATGGTATGAGACCAAATTGAGGTACTGGAAGTAAAAATCCCCAACAAATCTAAAAAATCATATTCTCCCATTTCTTGTCCCATTTTCAGTTTTTGAAGACGAAATTTCCCCGACCGAAATTTTACAGTTTTGACCGAATTCTTCTCCAGAAACCAATTAGTTAGTCAACTATAGATGGCATTTGACACATTTAAAGTGCTGGAAGTTTGATTCCGGTCCAAGGAAGCTTACTACAGAAAGCTTTACAGCACGAAAATACATATTTTCCAATCTCTGTCCCATTTCCAAATATGAAGATTTCTGGACAGAAATTTGACAGATTTGATGGAATGTTTGCCCAGTGACCAATTAGTCAGATAATTGAGGATGGTATGAGACCAAATTGAGGTACTTGAAGTAAAAATCCCCGACAAATCTAAAAAATCATATTCTACCATTTCTTGTCCCATTTTCAGTTTTTGAACACGAAATTTCCCCGACCGAAATTTTACAGTTTTGACCGAATTCTTCTCCAGAAACCAATTAGTTAGTCAACTATAGATGGCATTTGACACATTTGAAGTGCTGGAAGTTTGATTCCGGTCCAAGGAAGCTTACTACAGAAAGCTTTACAAAACGAAAATACATATTTTCCAATCTCTGTCCCATTTTCAAATATGAAGATTTCTGGACTTAAATTTGACAGATTTGATGATTTTTTTGCCCAGTGACCAATTAGTTAGCTAATTGAGGATGGTATGAGACCAAATTGAGGTACTGGAAGTAAAAATCCCCAACAAATCTAAAAAATCATATTCTCCCATTTCTTGTCCCATTTTCAGTTTTTGAAGACGAAATTTCCCCGACCGAAATTTTACAGTTTTGACCGAATTCTTCTCCAGAAACCAATTAGTTAGTCAACTATAGATGGCATTTGACACATTTAAAGTGCTGGAAGTTTGATTCCGGTCCAAGGAAGCTTACTACAGAAAGCTTTACAAAACGAAAATACATTATTTCCAATCTCTGTCCCATTTTCAAATATGAAGATTTCTGGACTTAAATTTGACAGATTTGATGATTTTTTTGCCCAGTGACCAATAAGTCAGCTAATTGAGGATGGTATGAGACCAAATTGAGGTACTGGAAGTAAAAATCCCCGACAAATCTAAAAAATCATATTCTCCCATTTCTTGTCCCATTTTCAGTTTTTGAAGACGAAATTTCCCCGACCGAAATTTTACAGTTTTGACCGAATTCTTCTCCAGAAACCAAATAGTTTGTCAACTATAGATGACATATGACACATTTCATGTGCTGGAAGTTTGATTCCGGTCCAAGGAAGCTTACTACAGAAAGCTTTACAAAACGAAAATTCATATTTTCCAATCTCTGTCCCATTTTCAAATACGAAGATTTCTGAACAGAATTTTGACAAATTTGATGGAATATTTGCCCAGTGACCAATTAGTCAGCTAACTGACTCAGCTGAGGATGGTATGAGACCAAATTGAGGTTTTTGACAGAATATTGCTTACTATCCAGAGAAACCCATTATTTATTATGGATGCCCAAGATTTCCATGGATACTAAACATAAATCATGTATGAGTAATGAAACCAGATGAACAAGCATCCTAGGTCATAGGAGGAGATAAGATGATGGTAGTTATTCATAATGCAACGAATACTGCTGCAAAACTCACATCTTACAAAGGTGTATAGCTTCTACATACATTTAATGCTCAACACTTGAACATGTTTGATAGTTGCAACTGAGAACTAGCAGGCTTAGGATAAAAGTTTTTAGAGAGTGTAGTAAACATTTTATAAACTTATACAAACATGTATAAACAATAAACATGCATAAAAATTTTACAAAGACATTATCGTAAACATACTGCACCTACCCCAACACTCATTGAAGCACATATAGTTACACTGGAGATCTCTGTATCAAACGGCTTTGCTAGTTTCACTTCCAGTAGCTTAAACGTACAAGTTCTGAGGGAAAGAAGTTTTTAGACAGATTCATAGATTTATTGACGTTAACTTGAAATCTAGCATCCCAGGATATTAATAGTCCTGAGTAAACCTGGAGCTGGGTATACAAACCTAGGTATACAATGAGGTGCAGTGCGCTCTCCTTCCCACGTTGAGAACAACTTCATTGACAGAGGTTTAGAGTAATTCTCCATCTCGTTTGCCAGTTTAAACCCTTTCTTTTCTTTCAGTTATTACAATCCTTACATCTTTACTACTGTAATTGTTGTGAATTATGTGGCTGCCAACTAGAATTTACAAATTGAAATGTTTAAGGACACATATAATGAACATTCTGGTGTAATACTTTAATAATTACAACTCACAATTGGGTATTGTTCATAACATTCTTTGTTTGGGTAGAAAGTTACGCATGTGCACCTTTTGGGCCTAAGCCAGGTCAGGTAATTCAATCTCAGTAATTCTCCCTTAAAATTTAGAGCAGTTATCCTAGAGTTTGTGTTTCAGAAAAGGTCCAACTTTCAAAATATGGCTCATATGATCACTAATAAACATATCTTAAATAATTTATATATAAGTGTATAAGTATATAAGTATAATCGCAATTAAGACCAGACTACTGGTCTTTGACATGTATTCTGCTTTTAGAAAACAAGTTTGAGCAGAATCCGAGTTACAGAAAATAACAGATAAACGTTTTGATTTGAGGTAGAGAAAAGTGACTACTAGCCACACTTCATTGATGGTCATGAATGCAATATTACTCAGCTGAAGAAGCTTTCAGCTCTATATGTATGCTATATAAATCAATGAAACAAGAAATAATAGCCTGACAATAATTAGTAGCCTGAGAATTTAAATCAAATCATATCAAAACCATAATTATCTGTAAAAGAGAGATCATCGGATCCAAGAGAATTTCTTATCTATTTATGCAAACTGTTGAATCACTATTTCACTGCCACCCTACTGATAACAGCCCATGGCTCATTGCGCATCTTACAATTTCCTAATTCTATTCATGTAATGTTATCAGGATCAGTCCCATCTCCCATTATAAACATCATACACAGTACCACACGAAAAATTCCTAACGACTTTAAAACTAACTTCCAAAATAAAAGGGCTGGCTGCTAATTATCAAAAATTAAATTGAGTGCCGTGTGTTTTATTTTATGATATAATATGATAATGAGTCATGCATCGGGAAAAAATAACAAAGTATCTTGCCTGTTTAAGGCTGATATTTCAGTGTTATCCTTGACACCATATTCAAAGCAACTCCAGCATAATTATATGTTTGGGTAACCTCAATTTGTTAATGTATATTCTGGACGACAAGTCACAAGCCGACATGTATCATTTAATCAAAAGTCAAACAAGACCAATCAAAGGGTAAGCATAAACAATTAATCGTATGTAACATTGAAATAAACTGTAAGTGAAGATGGAACACCTAATTACCGAGTTTGGAAAAACGATCCAAACTAAATTCCCAGTAAAAAGGCAATACCGATTAATTTTAGTTAATCAATAAGTACAGGCTTACACAAATATTTCAAAATTGACGTTTGATTTTGATTCAAGCTTCAGTGATAATTTTCAAAACCGTCTAAAACCAAATATGAAAGATATTGCAATAGCGCTCGATCCTCGCAAGAACATGTAACTGCACTAAAAAATCTGACACACAACTTTTTTACGAATTCGCGCGGCGCCTCGAACCAGCAACGTCCTAAGCACTCACTCCTCCAAATACAAACTTAATTGTTTGAATTTAAGACTAATTAACGTTTGAATAAAGCAAATCCAATTAAATCGTAATTGTGGTAAAAATAATACGTGCAATCGATTTTTAAATATGTTTACCAATTCAATAATATAAAAGTAGCTTTCTACTAATATAAGTATAAGTTGTTCGCATACTACGTTTACATATTTATATATTATGTACATGTAATCAGCCGAGTGGGAGTTTGAGTTTTAGGGGCTTTGACGCGCCGCGCGAACTATTATTTTTGCTTCGAACCCTGAAGGGGAGAAAGGAGCAGATTTAAAATTGAACGAGTGACATTCGTAAAATATTTTTTAATATTAAAGACTGTCGACGCGTCTAATTCAGCGCGCGTCTTGGTAGGTTATAAACCTTCAATTTGAAATTGGCATGGCTAAAAAGTGGGATGATAATTAATCACTCTACAGTCGACTGTCACGTGACGAAAACGCCGTGATTTCATTGGTTAACCTGATAACGCGCCGCAGATCTCTATAAACACAAATTATTCATCGCGCGTGCAGTAAACTCAAATTAAGTCCTAATTTGTTACCGAAATTTGGCAACTATCAACATCATGGCACAATTAAGTCGCATGCCCAGTAAATTGCTAATCAAATGTTTATGTACGGCACTAATACTACAGTCTACACTTACAGTGTATGAATTTATGAACGAATTTATTAAGGCAGATTGGTAGAACAACGATCGTAAATGATAATTTGTATTAACAGTGCGAAAGTGTTCTTAAGAGTTAAGGGAGACTGTTTTGCAGCCATGTCGGGAGTTATAAAACACCGAACACGTCATTAAAGACACTTTCCAACTACAAAACTTAACCACAAAACCAGCTCTGAGCACTATTTCTAGGTTATGAGACGGCTAAATGATACGAATAATAAATCCTCAGATCTCCCAGTACTCTACATTAAAAACACTTTCCAACTACAAAACTTAACCACAAAACCAGCTCTGAGCACTATTTCTAGGTTATGAGACGGCTAAATGATACGAATAATAAATCCTCAGATCTCCCAGTACTCTACATTAAAAACACTTTCCAACTACAAAACTTAACCACAAAACCAGCTCTGAGCACTATTTCTAGGTTATGAGACGGCTAAATGATGCGAATAATAAATCCTCAGATCTCCCAGTACTCTACATTAAAAACACTTTCCAACTACAAAACTTAACCACAAAACCAGCTCTGAGCACTATTTCTAGGTTATGAGACGGCTAAATGATGCGAATAATAAATCCTCAGAGCTCCCAGTACTCTACATTAAAAACACTTTCCAACTACAAAACTTAACCACAAAACCAGCTCTGAGCACTATTTCTAGGTTATGAGACGGCTAAATGATGCCAATTATAAATCCTCAGAGCTCCCAGTACTCTACATTAAAAACACTTTCCAACTACAAAACTTAACCACAAAACCAGCTCTGAGCACTATTTCTAGGTTATGAGACGGCTAAATGATGCCAATTATAAATCCTCAGAGCTCCCAGTACTCTACATTAAAAACACTTTCCAACTACAAAACTTAACCAAAAAACCAGCTCTGAGCACTATTTCTAGGTTATGAGACGGCTAAATGATGCCAATTATAAATCCTCAGAGCTCCCAGTACTCTACATTAAAAACACTTTCCAACTACAAAACGTAACCAAAAAACCAGCTCTGAGCACTATTTCTAGGTTATGAGACGGCTAAATGATGCGAATAATAAATCCTCAGATCTCCCAGTACTCTACATTAAAAACACTTTCCAACTACAAAACTTAACCACAAAACCAGCTCTGAGCACTATTTCTAGGTTATGAGACGGCTAAATGATGCCAATTATAAATCCTCAGAGCTCCCAGTACTCTACATTAAAAACACTTTCCAACTACAAAACGTAACCACAAAACCAGCTCTGAGCACTATTTCTAGGTTATGAGACGGCTAAATGATGCGAATAATAAATCCTCAGATCTCCCAGTACTCTACATTAAAAACACTTTCTAACTACAAAACTTACCCACAAAACCAGCTCTGAGCACTATTTCTAGGTTATGAGACGGCTAAATGATGCGAATAATAAATCCTCAGATCTCCCAGTACTCTACATTAAAAACACTTTCCAACTACAAAACTTAACCACAAAACCAGTTCTGAGCACTATTTCTAGGTTATGAGACGGCTAAATGATGCCAATTATAAATCCTCAGAGCTCCCAGTACTCTACATTAAAAACACTTTCCAACTACAAAACGTAACCACAAAACCAGCTCTGAGCACTATTTCTAGGTTATGAGACGGCTAAATGATGCCAATTATAAATCCTCAGAGCTCCCAGTACTCTACATTAAAAACACTTTCCAACTACAAAACGTAACCACAAAACCAGCTCTGAGCACTATTTCTAGGTTATGAGACGGCTAAATGATGCGAATAATAAATCCTCAGATCTCCCAGTACTCTACATTAAAAACACTTTCCAACTACAAAACTTAACCACAAAACCAGCTCTGAGCACTATTTCTAGGTTATGAGACGGCTAAATGATGCCAATTATAAATCCTCAGAGCTCCCAGTACTCTACATTAAAAACACTTTCCAACTACAAAACTTAACCACAAAACCAGCTCTGAGCACTATTTCTAGGTTATGAGACGGCTAAATGATGCGAATAATAAATCCTCAGATCTCCCAGTACTCTACATTAAAAACACTTTCCAACTACAAAACTTAACCACAAAACCAGCTCTGAGCACTATTTCTAGGTTATGAGACGGCTAAATGATGCGAATAATAAATCCTCAGATCTCCCAGTACTCTACATTAAAAACACTTTCCAACTACAAAACTTAACCACAAAACCAGCTCTGAGCACTATTTCTAGGTTATGAGACGGCTAAATGATGCCAATTATAAATCCTCAGAGCTCCCAGTACTCTACATTAAAAACACTTTCCAACTACAAAACGTAACCACAAAACCAGCTCTGAGCACTATTTCTAGGTTATGAGACGGCTAAATGATGCCAATTATAAATCCTCAGAGCTCCCAGTACTCTACATTAAAAACACTTTCCAACTACAAAACGTAACCACAAAACCAGCTCTGAGCACTATTTCTAGGTTATGAGACGGCTAAATGATGCGAATAATAAATCCTCAGATCTCCCAGTACTCTACATTAAAAACAGGCACGTAGCCAGGGGGGGGGGCTAGGGGGGCGGCAGCCCCCCCCCCCCGGAAAAAATCGAACCCCAGAAAAAAGATAAGCCCCCTAGTCCCCATGGTCGCCTGGTAACTGGGCTGTATTTATGACTGCAGTCAGTCAAAGATTTGAACTGTGGATTAGTAAATATATGTCATTAAATCCAAGCAAACATTCTAGAAGACTTCTATAATTATAGTCAATAGTGTCCCCTAGACCGTAGGAAATGTAAAAATCTTAAGACGATGAGGCCTGAGTAAGTCGTAAATTCTGA